TTATGAATGAAGCGCAGAATCTCCTTATATGCTTGTAGCCTCTTCTATGACGTGCCTGCTTCTGTTAAGCTCTCCTTGTCCGTGGGGTTTCTGTCGTCCAGTGCTTATGGGAATGCTTCATGGTCCTCTGTCAGTTGTATGTGTTGTAATGATTTTATTCACCTCTTTGGGCCATCTTTTCACAGTATTTGTGCTATGTTTTTTAAAATAAATAGATACTTTAAAATGATCAATCTTTTAGCCCCGGCCAGTGTGGCTCAGTTGGTTGAGCATCATCCATTACACAGAGAGGCACCAGTTCAATTCCAGGTCGGGGCACATGCCTGGGTTGTGGGATCTCCTGTAGGGGGCATGCAAGAGGCAGCTGATTGAGGTTTCTCTCGCACGCGCGCTCTCTCTCCCTCTCCCTCTCCCTTCCTCCAGCTCTTTTGGGAAGGTCATCCTTGGCCACAGCCCATCAGTGGAAACCACAGCTGCCCCTTCCTGCCTGGCCCACTCTAGGCCGTTTCCCCGAGGAGGTAGGACTCCCATGAGGCAGGAGTGTGGAGCATCCTGGCTCCTGGTTCTAACCCCATCTCCTGCTCCCGGGCTAGTGGGAAGCTTGTCCCCAGTGAGGGTCGGGCGGGGCCAGGAGCTGCAGTTCAGGGAAGAAAGAAAGGCACAGACTCAGCTCAGTGCAGCCCCATGTCCCTGATTAACCCCTCCACCCAACTCCCAGGCCTGTACACCACCACCTACTGCCTCGCACACGCCTCCCGGGACCCCCCCAGGCCTCCTGGAGCAGGACTGGGCCTGGCTCAGGTGCAGGCTCCCTGCTGGGCCAGGCTTCTCTTAAAGAACCTGACCTACTTGGAGCCCAGACCACACTGCTGGTTCTCCCTCCTGCTGATCTTGGGCTCAGATAGGCCGCAGATGAGCAGATGTGCGGAGGTCCTGGGGGTTCTGCCATTTCAAACGGAAGTAAAAGGCATAGCAAAGCGATTCTGGTATCACTTTTTTTTTCCACAACAAAATAGGTCAAGGCAAAAACAAATTTGTCTTTTCAGAAACATCTAGAAGAAAATCAGCGACGATTGTCCAAAAGGCAAGATTGGAATGTAATGGCATGCCCCGGATCGTCTCCTGTCTAAATATATAAGACTCACACTTTCAGGAGAAGATGTGGGAAATTCTTACTCTGGTAGAAAATGGGATGCAGTGTGAACCGTCTTCCCAAGGTTGGTGACTCCTTTATTTGCTGCTGATCTTTAAGCACAGTCTGTCCCCTTGGGGAGGCTGAGGTGCTGGGAGCAGGGACTCCCTCCCACAGGTAAACAGGGACCCCTGTGGGCACAGTTCACGGCTGAGCAGAGCCAGCACCCTGAAGGGCACAGAGAAGGGCCAGGGCCCCCGGGGCCGGGGGGCAGTGTGAGCTCACTGACCACTGGCTTGCCAAGGGTCTCTCCCCTGAATGTATCTCAGACAGCCAGTCCCTGCAGGAAAGATGGGATTTTATTTTAAATAGACTATTGCTGAGATCATTTCTAGATTTACATAAAAATTGAGCAGACCACACGAAAAGTACATCTGAGGCTCACACCCAGTTTCCCTTATCATTAGCACCGTATATCAGTATGGTATGTTTGTTGTCATTAATGAATGAATATTGATGTATTATTATCAAATCACATTGTACAGATATTAAAGGATAATAGGGAATATTATGAACTACTTTATACCTATAAACTCAGAAACATACACAAAATAGACAAATTCCTTGAAAGGTACAATCTAATGAAGCTTATACAAAAAGGAATAATCTTTTTTTCATCACCATTTATCCCCTCTATGGCCTCTTCCACCACCTCCCAATCTGCCTCCCCCCTACATCAATAAATTTATATCCACTAAAAATTGAAATTATAGTTAAAAACATTCCTGCAAACAAAACTCCAGGCCTAGATGGCTTCATTGGTAAAATCTACCAAAAACTTAAGAAACAGATAAAACCAATTCGACACAAACTTTTTCGTAAAATTAAACAAGAAAGAATACTGTCCAACTCATTCTGTGAGGTCAGTGTCAACCTTGTTTTAAAACCAGAGAAAGACATACGAGAACACTTAACACCAATATCTCTTATACATTTAGCTGCAAACTTTATTAACAAAATTTTCTAAGGAAACTTTCTAAACACAATAATTATGCCAAGTGAAAGAAAGCCAGCTAGTCCCCTAACACCCAGAAGAGTACCTTCTGTATTAATTCCACTTATAAATTCCCCAAAGTACAAACTACTCTACAGTGACAAAAAGTTGAACAATGATTAGCTGTGGGGGTGGAGAGAGACATACAAAGGACAGGAAAAATCTTTGGGGATCAGTCCACTCCCAAGATTGCTGGGATGGCTTCCTGAATGTACACGTGTGTCAAGACTTATCGCCATTTACATACTGTAAATATATGAAGTTTATTGTATGCTAATGTAACCTCAAAGCTGTTAAAACAAAAATACAGCCTATAACTCTTGGTATGTAACTGAAGCGACATTACAAGGAAAGTTTATAAATTTACACGTACACATTAAAAAGAAGAAATGTGGAAAAGAAGTGGTCTAAATATCACTACCAAAAAGCTACAATAAGTGGAAAGAAAAAGATTCTACAGATCAGAGCAGAAACAAGTGAAACTGAAATCAGATGTTCAATTTAAAGAAATGAAGGAAGTCAAAGGCACATGTTTCCTATGGCCTTGAAGATGCTAGTGAAATGGTTAACCCCTAGCAACACTGATCAAGAATAACAGAGCATTCACAAAGTACCAATATCGGCATTGAAAAAAGGCACATAAGTATAGATATTATAGACATTTAAAAGATAGTACAAAGATATTATCAATAACTTTATGTCAATAAATTTAAAATGTATATAATATTGTCAGTTCATTGATAAAAAGAAATTCACTAAGAAGAAATAGAAAGCACAGATAATTCAATTATCTACAGTTTTTAAAAAATATATATTTTATTGATTTTTCACAGAGCGGAAGGGAGAGGGATAGAGAGTTAGAAACATCAATGAGAGAGAAACATCGATCAGCTGCCTCCTGCACACCTCCTACTGGGGATGTGCCCGCAACCAAGGTACATGCCCTTGGCCGGAATCGAACCTGGGACCTTTCAGTCCGCAGGCCAATGCTCTATCCACTGAGCCAAACCGGTTAGGGCTATCTACAGTTTTAAAAATTAAATCTGAAAAGGAAAATTGCCCAAAATAGGAAATTCTAGGCCCAGATGGCTTCACTGTCAAATTCTTCCAAGCATTTAAGGAAGACATAAAACCAGGGCTACACAAAATTCCACAATTACTTCTTAAAAGAGGGAAATCTCCTAATTTTTATGAGACATAAATAATCCTCATGCCAAAAGAAATGAGACAGAAGCATTTACAGAAAAGGAAAATTACACATCAAGCCCTCTTCTAAATATTGATCCAACATATTGCCAAACTGATTCCTGTAATAGATATAATGAATAAGAAATATGGCATGACAGAGGTTAGTTTGCTTAACCCAAGGTTGGATTAACATTTGAAAATCAATCAATGCAGCTCACCACATTGACCACAAAGGGGAGGAAATCATGTATAATCTTAACAGATGCACAAGCATTAAAGTCAGCACTTCATGATAAAAACCTTGAAAATTGGCAATAGACTGATTTCCCTTCCTCTGATAAATGGCTTTTACCACAAAAACACATCCAACACTGTATTTAATGGTGAAAGGAAATCAGGAGGCGCGTGGTCACTGTGCTGCCACATTCAATATGGGACCGAGGGGCCTGGCCCTTGAAATAAGGCACAAAAAAGAGGTTAAAGGTATAAAGGAAAGGAAAGGGTCCGACATTATTCACAGATGACATGATTACACATGTAGAAAAGCTACAGGGCACTTTGGACCCAATTAAGGAGAGTTTACAAGAAAAAAGAAGCAGCAGCCCCAGCCAGGTGGCTCAGTGGGTTGGAGTGTTGTCCCATACACCACAAAGGTTGCGGGTTCGATTCCCGATTAGGGCACATGCCTAAGTTGCAGGTTCAATACCTGACTGAGCAAGTACCAAAGGTGACGGATCAATGTTTCAATGTTTCTCTCTCTCTCTCCCTTCCTCTCTCGAAAATCAATAAACATATCCTCAGATGGGGATTAAAAAAAAAAAAAAGGAAAGCCGATGCCTGCCCAGTGACACAGAGCCCTCCAGTGAGTGGTACCTGAAGATGTTGCCAAATATGGTTTTTGGTTTTTTTCTGTTAATCCTCACCTGAGGATATTTTCCCATTGATTTTTTTTTTTTAAGACAGAGTGTGAAATGGGGGGCTGGGAGAGAGAGAGAGAGAAATATGGGTGTGAGACGCATTGATTGGTTGCCTCCCGCATACGCTTTTTGGATTTTTTTGTTAATCCTCCCCTGAGGATATTTTCCCCTTGATTTTTTTTTTTAAGAGTGTGTGTGAAATGGGGGGCTGGGAGAGAGAGAGAGAGAAATATGGGTGTGAGACGCATTGATTGGTTGCCTCCCGCATACGCCTCCACCAGGCCCAGGGATCGAGCCTGCAACCCAGGTGCGAGGGTCGATGCTCTAACCACTGAGCGCACCAACCAGGGCTCACCACAGATGTCGTCTCTTCTTCTGCTAGACATTTTCTATAAGCTTTCAGTCCTTTTCCTGAATAATCAGAGTTAAATTACGTCTGGCAATAGGATCTGGGTCTATGACTTTGACCACTTCTAAGACACATGTCTTAAGAGCTTATTAAGAGCTATATTTTCCTCAATACAAATTTCTTTGAGCTAATTCAGGGGTGGGCAAACTTTTTGACTCGAGGGCCACAGTGGGTTCTTAAACTGGACCGGAGGGCCGGAACAAAAGCATGGATGGAGTGTTTGTGTGAACTAATATAAATTCAAAGTAAACATCATTACATAAAAGGGTACGGTCTTTTTTTTTTTTTTAGTTTTATTCATTTCAAACGGGCCGGATCCGGCCCGAGGGCCGTAGTTTGCCCACGGCTGACCTAGAGGCTTGAGGACAGTCCCCAGAATGCTCCTGTGTGTTCTGGATTCAACACCATCATAAAGGGGAACCACGAACGGTGCTTTCCACTCTGTCAGCGGCAGATCTACCTCCAGGTCTTCACAGCGTCATCTCCTCCAGAGGAAACGCAGCCTCGTCGTAACCCTCCTCGGGCCCAGACTGTCCGTCTGTGAGGCTTGCTGCCCCTTCTGAAACAGGCACGCGAGGCACCAGGTCACCGGATCGCCCGGAAGCCACGTCTGATTCATCACCATTGGCCTGGCCTGATGACGTCCCTCTTGTTAGGAAAGCTCAGCAATGTCACCAAAAACACTTGACAGCCCGGCCGGCGTGGCTCAGCAGTTGAGCATTGACCTCTGAACCAGGAGCTCACGGTTCGATTCCTGGCCGGGGCCCATGCCCGGGTTGCGGGCTCTATCCCCCATCCCCAGTGTGGGGTGTGAGGAGGCACAATCAGATCAATTGATGTTTCTATTTCTCTCTCCGACTCCCTTCCTCTCTGAAATCAATAAAAATATAAAAACAAAAAACACCACCTGACAGAGACCTCCAGGCATCTGGATACTGGGGCGCCTCAACCATCCGGTCACAGCGCAGGACTGGTTCTGTCACGCTCATCCTCCAGGTGAGGACACCGAGGCTGCGAGCTTCAGCCACTCAGAAGCACAAGCACACCCCCTCCCCAAGGTTCCCACCTGCTGGACTCCCCCACCTGGCTTCTGGAGCTGGGAGCACAGACACCCTGATCCTCCTCACCCTGGGGCTCCTCCTCGATTTCCTCGTACAGCCCTGCGAGAGGCAGTTCCCCGATGACATCATAGGTGGGCTCTCCAGGAGACGCCTCCGAACTTCCCAGGCCTGAGGAAGAGGGGAGCAGGGTCACACTCAGACCCCCAGGTGTGGACAAGTCCATGGGCTGGGGGCGGGGGCAGGACTTTCAGGGGGGAACCCCACTCGGGCAGCAGAAAGGCAGGATGCTTTGGGCAGGGCCTGGGAGGCTACGGTGATGGGACCAGGCCCTCCGTGCCCTCCCACCCCTGGCCACCAGCCGCTCTCAGCAGGGCCTGAGGCTGCTGCCCAGTGAGCCTCCATGTGGTTTCCCGGTGGGACCTTCTAGGGTCAGCACCGAGTCCCAGGGGCCTGAGGCTGACTAATTTCGAAGTCACTCTGTTTGGCCAAGAAAAGGCCACTCACTCGAAGTGAAACTCCACGTCAGGGACCCCAACACCAGCGTTCAGTTTCCCCTGGTTTCTGCCATGCTGGCCATCGGGACCCGGTGGGGGCACATACCTCTCTGCTTGGCTTGTGTGATTCGCAGCAGGATCAGGAGGCCCAGGAGGCCCAGAAAGAGAAGACCGAGAAGCGCTCCCAGGACTGTGCTGACCGCCCTGAGCATCAGGCAGGGCTCTGGGTTCCGCAGGGGAGCAGGGCCAGGCTCTGTGGAAGGAGAGACCACCAGCGGTTCATGGTGGCTGAGGGGGAGAAGGCAGCCCCCAGGGCCCACACCCTCACCCTCAGGGGCCACCATGTGCTTCTGAATTGCTGAGGGGGCATCTGCTGGGCAAAGCACCCCATGATTGACTGGCATGTGCTGGTGAGGGCTTGAGGTTTCCGCTCTAAAACAGTGACTATCATGGGTCCAAAACAGAGGCTCCTGAGCAGGGCCCCCACCCCCACCCCCCAACCCCGCAT